AGAAAAAAAAACACGTTTACCGTGAAAAAGGGATCAAGGATAGTGCGATCCAAAAACTCGCGTACAAGCAACCCTTGATTGGTTTCCTGAATATGATTGCACAACATTTCAACTAGCAAAAGTGCAAATTGATAATAACTTAAGATAAAATTCCATCGGAAGTTTTTTTAGAATGATTAGCATTTGATCGGATAAAGGCACGGAAATTTCAATGCAATCCATGTCAAAAGTGTACCTTTGTATAGCTTTTTACAGTTATAGCTTTTTGAGAAGTTGAAAAAACTAACATGTTTTCTATTTTACCAAGAAACAGAGCACGCTTGTAAAAGTATGAAGCCACTATTTGAAATAAAAGACTAAAGTCTTTAGTAGAATATGAAGATGGGTTTAAAATGGACACAGGAGAACCATAATCTTCGACAGAGCAGCTAACAAAAACCGCGTCGACGAAAAGTCTAATATACTCCTTTCAGAAGTAAAATAAAGGAAAAGGAGGTGGAAAAGTTCTACCAGAAAACTGCGACAACACGGGTCTCCAATTTTTTTAGTAGATAATCACACGTATGTTGTAGCAATTTACTAGGATTTTCACTTAGACAAAAAATTTGACTAAACAGTTAGCGGAGTTTCACTAATAAATATAATTTAGAACTCGAAACACTTCATCGCTTAAGGGAACGAACCCAAATTCTACTAACGACATTAAAATTACCCAAAGCATGAGACCCTTCTTCAAGAAATTGCTCAGAAGGTTTTAGAAGCGTCTTTTGGATTTACACATGTACAGAAGTAACAACTTTATAAGTTTTTACAGACAAACTGTGCTACCTACTCACAGCCATTTTCTATAAAAATAAAATTTGTTTCGTAAATACTAGTTCCTGACACATATGTTTTTGAGATGACGCCGTTCCTCGTGGATCATAATCTAGCCAAAATGTAATACAATTCAATGCTGAATAAAGTAAGTAATAGCTCTACAGTATTACCATCACTCAGGAAGTTCTCACCTGAAATCATTCGCGCAATAACTAGAACTCCGAAAATATTTTCTAATTCAAGGTTAATACTCAAAATCATACATCCAACAACACATTCAAAGGCAACAATTTCAAAAAATCATACAAAAGTTAACCGTCAAGCAAGCGTCGCCCGACTACACCTCGCTGTAAACTTTGGAATATTTTCATCTTCTGTAAAAAAAAACCTGCACGTACAAATCATTTAAAACAATGAAAAATTAAGTATAAAACCAAACACACATGACACAGCATACACAAGCGCACCCACACTCACAAACACACCACGACCACCACCAGCACCATTACAAATAAAGATTTTTACAAAATCCTAACAATTTACAAATGCTTACAGGACCAATTTTTCCCCAGGAACTTATTTTATTTTAAAAATTTCAAGAAATCTAACCAAATTGCTCATATTATCTGCCAATCGCAAAATACGAACATTCTATAGAATCAAACGAATTAATCCTTATCAAAACACTTAATTTTGATTTTCGAAAAATCAGTAGTTTTTTGAACTTTATCCAATATATCATAAGTCCCATGTATCTTCGCAGTTTTTTAGAAACATCAGAAGTAGAAAGCTCAAAAGTTTTTTTTTGATCTCGGAACTAAGTCCAACTATTCATTTTTCCACACCACATTTCCCTCCGATCACTTCCCAACCTACGTCATTACCGTTTCTTCGAAGTCTTTTTCCTCGTATGCTCATGATACTCCACTTCTATCATCAATATCCGGCACCTTTGAAAAAACTCCCAGCCATATTACCGATTAAAAATTTAGCATGGCTTAGAAATTTCATCCAAAAGCAGCAACAAATCCACAAGGCTCATGCACCAATAATAAATCATCGTTTCAATATCCGAAAAATTTTCTAGCACTGATACTCCAATCAGAGTAGCACGCCTTCTCATCCAACGTAGAAACCAATCACACATCCGCAGATAATTACAAAACTGCCCATTTATATCACGAAAAAGTGAAGCACTCATCCAAATCATACTAACACGCATGAATTTTTACATCATTCTACCTTTGCTTTCTACATTTTTGGTTAAATAACTAAGAACCTCAAAGTCAAGGCGTCTCTTATGCAAATTAAACTATCTTAGTCATTACACTTCCGTGGTTATGCTATTGAAAGTTACCAACTCCTTAGTATTCCTATTAAAAAATCCGATGATAAAATTTTACACGCTAAAATCTTTCGGCAACTCACTCGCTCAATTGATCTCGACGATTTCACTGATATCGTTTTGTCACAAACACTAAATAAACGCCTTGCATGAAAATCAAACAAAATGCCCATTAATGAGTATGATCACACTGATCACAGATACATGGAGACTCACACCTAGTACTGATCCTGAAGTGAACCCACAATTAACTGAAAGATTATTAGTTAATTTGGTCTTTGGTTATTTTTTTGCTAATTTTGATTAAACGTTCTATTAAGACAGACTCAAACTTCTACCGTTTTATTCAAAGACAGTCCACACAACTTTCACTTAACTTACATCAGCGCTACATAAAAGGCACTAATATCCCCGACCGCCAAATTTAAATTTTTTGACCATTTAACGAAACCATCAACGAACTTAGATCCATCAATGATATCCCAAAAGAGTTTATTATTAGAATATTAATTATATGATTATTTTATGATTTTAATTATTTGATTTATTATTATATGACAAGAATTTAACCACAAAATTTTTAATAAGGAGAAAAAACCCTTAAGGAACTTGAGCTTCTTTGGCCGCTATTAAAAACCAAAAACGTCCTACGCATAGTAACGAAACAGCTTACTGAATCAAATTCCATCGCCATTGATTTTCAAAATGGATTCTTCGAATCATCGTAAGTATAATTTACGTCTTCTAAAAACCAATTTAACCTTTGAAAAAGCAATCACCGTTTTATTTTGAAATGTTTCAGTGTTTTTCTTTCAGGTTTTTCAATATCTTCCAAAATACAAAAATTAAATTAAAAAAAAAACATATTTTGTCACTCAACAAAACGGCGCCAACCTATTCAGACTATTTATACTGCTTACAGTTAATCAGTTTTTTATAAATTCCAACGCAAAATACTAGTAATACAAGCAATAAATTTTAGAATTGAGTCATAAACACTCTAACCGTAAAATGTTATAACACTATAGATTGTTAAACTAGCTGTTTTAAGAGTAAAACTTCTATTTCTCTCAAACTGGTCTCTCAACTCGCTCCTTTTTGTTTTAAATGTTTCTAATTCTTCATATTTTTGCACGAAAAATGTAGTAATTTAAACAATTTCAAATTTTGCTAACTGCTGATAAAAACTATAACCAGGTGTCCACACTATCAAAACTAACACAGCTTTTAACATAACCTCACTACCATCGCAGTACAAACAAGTCCAGGACAAATTGTATGTTCTGAAACCAGATTAAACTGATAATATTTTTTTTGAAAGCAAAAACCGACTTTAATTCAGATCACAGCCAATTTTAGTAATTTCCAGATCAACAAAATGACAGACAAGCTATTTTAAACAAGTGGACGCAGTCACAAAATATAACTGACAAAAACAAAACTGTATAGAGAAAAGAAAAGGTTGTAATCAAAAGAGCTCTTGACTCAACAAACCACTGTCAGATATACTCCCAGAACTAGTCTGACCCACTTGTAGGAAGTCCTGACCATGGTCTATAGTCGGCCTCAACAACCTAGCTAAATCACACTCAGACAAATCGCACTATTCTTGCTAAGGGTGGCTCCAAATTAAGAGAAAAGAATCTGTGAAAACAACTAACTAAGAATTAATTAAAACTGAAACTAATAAAGTGCAGAAATGAATTCGCGAGAGATTTTGCAGAGTTTTTTTGCCTGCAGTGGAAATGAAATGACCGCTCGGCGACATAACAACTTCCTAGTGTCAATTCTATTGGTTTTGATTGCCGGCCGCAGTCTCAATGAAATCTTGGTAAAAATTGTGCAACTAAACGGGAAGAACTAGAATCTGGTGAAACAGAACGAACGGCAGCTCGACGTCAAATTTTACAAAAGTATTCTTTCTCACCTGACATTTCTCACAGAAAAGTCAACATTTCATCTCGCACGTAGTCTAGCTCTCAATTATGAAGTCGACTGACTACTATCAAGTTTCTGTACAACATTTCGATTTCTCTGGTTTCCCTATAATCCCTCATCGTCATGTATTTCGCATACACCGATCAGAGTTGCTTGTCTCTCTCATCAACTCTCCCAAAATCTCAGAAAACACTCCCGTATGAAAAGAATCATATTTTCAAAAGAACCAGTTTGAAACTAATTATTATATTCATATTTATTTGTAAAATTTTTATAACTATCCATTCATAATCCATGACTAAACTTTACTATTTTATTTGTAAGCGTGAAAGCCTTTTGGTTCAGAGAATTGAGACGAAGAATGAAATCAGTTACTTTTTTCTTTCCTCTATCTTCGCGATGAACCAGTATATCTGTAGATCTATTTCGACCAGGAAGTCTAAGAGTAAGAACAGTATTGGTATCAGAATCAAAGATTTTCACGAACCTATCCGGCCAAAAATAGATAGCGTGAGGAACAGACCGTACTCTATCCGAAATTACTATCACAACGGACCTAAACTCATTACTGCTCTGCTAAACTATGTATGCTTCGGTTTGCTGAGCACACCTCAAAAATTTTCTTCTTACATTTGTTGCTTAAACTCACATATCCCAAATTACTATATTGCTATAGCAAATCTTAAGTGGCTTTTGAGCTGTTTTTATAGATAAATCGCTCAAAAATTGTTCAAATCTTGCGCGGTTTTTGGACTTTTTTGAATAAACGCTCAAAAACCGCTCAAACTGCTCTTTATGATAAGCAAGGTTTTCAGTGCAATCGTCTAAAAAAACCGCTTAAATCTTTCTTCAAATTAGGTGAAAAAGTTCGACAAGTGTAGTTAGAAAGAAAACTTACGCAGGTCACACATTTGTGTTGTTTGGTTTAGTGCGTATCCGAAGTTGTTTGTGGAGCAGTAGCAGTTCGCGTTACCCTGGACAACTACACAGACACCTGCATCGGAGTGGGAAGCCCAGCAGTCCGCATTCACGTAACAGGCTAAATCATATAGGGCTGTCCGGTTTGAGATTTCAAGGTTAATCAAAACTACAGGGAGATCCATATTCAAGTGGCTCCCGCGTTAAGGTTTTCCTGGACCTGAAGCCTGAAGCGCTATTTTTTCCAAGGCCCAAGTGATTTGAACGCCGTGACTTACAAAAAGACTAGCGCGGCGCGACTGCAGAATGGTGGGAGGGGGCTTAATGTAGCAATCAGTGTTCGTGGAGGTTTTTGGGAGGTCTGTTAAGTGATCGGATAAAGGATCATGGTTAGTTCGAACTCACCGACATTTGTAGCTTGCGGAACAGATATGTCGGGGCACTCTTCCGTGAACTGTCCATTAATTGCCAAGAACACCTGGACAAACAAGCTTTAAGCAATATTAACATCATACTAGTAAGCTTAAGGCATGATAGAATCGGTTTTTTTCCGGCCGAGGTGTTCCACTTTTGTTTTAATTTGGTTTGTTTTGACTGCCTCGAGTAAAGTCCTTCGAATATATGACCAAAGAAAAACCTTCAGTGTGTATGACCCAATTCATATACGTTTCGACAGTCTCGGCTTTCTCGACTTTCTCGACTGAAAACAACTCAAAATATCTATGGTCTTCTATGCTCCGACGTTTTGAAGCACCATCTCGACTTTTTGGACCAAACAGTTTATCAGTTTTTCACTAATTATCAATGGCGTTTGCTGGAACGTTTCGAGAAAAGTGATTGTTTTAAGTTTCAGCAAATTTATCAAATTAAGTTATAGGTTAAAGTGATTTTTCAGCTTCACTAAAACACTAAAGACCTAATTTCTAAAAATTCTCAGACTGGCGAAACAAAAACTTCTCAGCGTAGAAAAAAGGCCACATTACTTTTTTGAGGTTTTTATGAAAAATTTTTGACCCCGGGTTTGTTTTCAACTGCGCTCGACTTATGTTTTGACTTTTCGATTTTCTCAAATTTGAATTAATATGAATACCCGGGTCGAGATCCCGCTCAAAAACCGCTCAAGATTTGAGCGGTTTGAGCGGTTTTCCAGCAAGATTTGAGCGGTTTGAGCGGTTTGGGCGGTTTTTTTGGAAAAACCGCTCAAACCTTGCTTAAAAAACCGCTCAAAAACCGCTCATTTCTTGCGGTGATTTTTGAACGGTTTTTCAAGCAAGATTTGAGCGGTTTTTGAGCGGTCTTCTCGGGTCGAGGTCCACTAACGTACCCCCCCCCCCCCCCCCCCAACGTACCACCCCTCAACGTACCCCCCAACCCACGACGTAACCCCCTCACGTTTACCCGCACCGAAGTTTCATGGGTAATAATCGATTATAATGGATTTTCGTTGAGTATAATGTTGTCTATATAATCGATTTAGACCACAAAATTGATTTTTAATCGATTATAATCGATTATTTTGGAAAAATTTAAATCCATTATAATCCATTATAATCGATTATAATCCATTTTTGTTTTCAATAAAATGGATTATTTTTTGTACATAAAATCGATGAAAATTGATTAAATTTTGTAAATAATTACTCTAATTTTTGCAACTTTATGCAAAACTTGAACGAACACGTTCATCTAGGGGCGGCCAAAATGTAGTAATTTTCCAAAAAGTGCCCAAAAACAGCATTTTTGACCAGCTCCTCACGTACCCCCACCCCCAACGTACCCCCCCCCCCCCCAAAGTATCCACCCTTCCTCCCCAACGTACCCCCGCCATACGTACCCCCCACACAACCCACGACGTACCCCTCTCACGTACCCCCATCCCCCCACGTACCCCCCATAACGTACCCCCATCCCCCCACGTACCCCCCATCACGTACCCCCATCCCCCATCCCCCATCCCCCTCACGTACCGCCATCCCCCATCCCCCCAACCACGACGTACCCCCCTCTCTCTCTCTAGTTAGGGGACATCTAAATCTAAATGTAGTACGGGTAAGCGTGAGGGAGTTGGTGTGGGATCTATAGGTAAATTTTTGTAATTTTTCAATGAAAATAGGAAAAAATGAAATTAAGCGAGAGAACAAAATAATTTACTTAAGTTTAGCAAAATTCTGAAAAAATGAAAACAACAAAAAGGTTTGAATAAACAGATTATAATCCATTATAATCGATTAAAATGGATTATTTTTCTCTTGATAATTTTTTTGAAAATAATCGATTATAATCGATTATAATCGATTATATTGGGATTTTATTGCTTAAAAAAATATAATCATTATAATCCATTTTCAATCGATTATAATCGATAATTTTTGTTATTTTGTAGAGACTGACGATGAAAATCCAATATAATCGATTATTATCCATGAAACTTCAGTGCGGGTAACCATCCCCCCACGAAACACCCAACCACGACGTGCCCCCTCTCTCTCTAGTTAGGGGACATCTAACTCTAGTAAGGGACATCAACTCTAGTAAGAGGTGAGGGGGGACATCAACTCTAGTAAGAGTTTGGGTGGGGGGGGGGGGGGTTGGTGTGCGATCTTATAATCGATTATTTTTGTTATTTTGTAGAGACTGACAATAAAAATCCTGACAGTATATTTGTTGTGCATGTCTAAAACATTGAAAATATTCAGTAGAACAAATACAGCGAATATTAAGCTTCCAGCAAGTCCGCATAGACTAATGGCTAAGGCGTCTGACTTCGAATCAGAAGATTGCGGGTTCGAATCCCTCTGTGGTCGACTTTTTATTATTAAATCTTGCGCCGTTTTTGAGCGGTTTTTTTAGATAAACCGCTCAAAACCGTTCAAATCTTGCGCGGTTTTTGAGCGGTTTTTTTAGATAAACCGTTCAAAAACCGCTCAAACCGCTCATTTTGAAGCAAGATTTTGAGCGTAATTGTCTAAAAAAACCGTTCAAAACGCTCAAATCTTGCTTCAAATTAGGTGAAAAATCTCGACTCGGGTAGTTTGAAAATAATACATCAACATATGTGTTTTTCAGTAAACTTAAGTGATGATGCCGCAACTCAAAAGTAGTAATAAGAAACAAGTATTCGAAACTCTGTCAACAAAACTTAGTTTTAATATCAAATCTTTCAATATTGCCCGATTTTTTTTCTTGCCGAAAAGAAAACTTGGTAAGTATGCTTGCCAATATGAATTATAAAAAAAACCCTAAGAACAAACGGACTAGAAGCTTTTGATTGGTGGAACATTTTGTAGAGAATGACCCACTTGAGTCTTTTCAGAAAGGAATGCTCATTTGCAACAAACAGACGACAAGTGAGCCCTCGAAACTTTGGAGTATTCCCTCCAACGCGTGTCCAATGGACACTACGATCTTGTGAAACTTTAAACACGCGACCAAAACTTTCCCAAAAACCGATGGCTTACCAAAAACCAAATCAAAACTCGACCGAACCATCCAAATCAAGATTATCATGCAAATTTTTGTAAAAATTTCAGCCCTTCAAAAAATACTGTGATAAGGTAATCACCACAAACCGATCACCAATCCTAAGACTTGCAACAACTTCATTGGAACGAATTTAACTTGTGTTAGTGGCTACGCTACCCAAATTGTGCCAAAGAATATCTTAATGGACTAACTCTGCAAAACCGCCTGCAAAAGCTATCAAGTTTTTTTTATGAAATATCTTCAACAATCTTCAGCGGTTGATGTTTCGACTTGACAAGCTGGACATCCGATTTGAAGCAGTTTCCAAGGACCGTCGATAGAAAACCACATAGAGAGAACAGCGATATTTGCACTTTCAGTAAAAGACATCTGTAGAAAGTTCTAGGAGTCAAAAGGAAGCCTGAGTTAGACGTCTTTGTGGAAACTAAAATTTTCAGGATATTGAAAAAAATGATCCCTATCCGATTGGAAAAAATATATCACTGACAATTTGATTTCGAAAATCAATTCACTTGCCTGAAACAGTCGACTCCAAATGAGACAAACTCCCCAACATGAAGTGATTGATGGAAAACTTCCAGCAACCAATTTAACGACATTTTTACGCCATGAAAGCGTTTCAGAACAGCGAAGAAAGTTCTCGACATGCAACTTCAATTCTTCAACCACGCCTCCCAGCCTGTCCTCGAATTAGTTGTCTACTTTAGGATCACGTATGCCAAAAACCTAAGTGAAATAAAGTTTGTCATCGGAAAAGCATGATTCGCCCACTGAAAAGGATGAGATTATCGGTCTTAGAACATCAAGCCGCGATAAAGGGAGCCAAATTTGCACAACTTCTCAAGTACAGCAGGACATTGCTTTATAAGTGACATCTCATGTCAACCTCTTTATAGAAAAATCATAGCAAAAAGATGACGCCAGCTCACAATTCAGGAAATTATAACCCAGCTCACAATTTAAACGCCGTGACTTACTGCCGTGGCTTGAAAAGACTGGCGCGGCGGGACTGCAGAAGAGTGGGAAGGGGCTTAATAGACTGATCAAGGTTCGTTGAGGATTTTGGCAGGTCTGGTAAGTGATCGGATAAAGGATCATGGTTAGTTCAAACTCACCGACATTTGTAGCTTGCGCAACAGATATGTCGGGGCACTCTTCCGTGAACTGGCCATTAATTGCCAAGGACATCTGGACAAACAAACTTTAAGCAATATTAACATCAAACAAGTAAGCTTAAGGCATAATAGAGTCGGTTACTTTCCGATCGAGGTGTTTCGTTTTTGTTTTGATTGTCTTCACCAAAATCTGTTTGTTCTGACCACCTCAAGCAAGAGTCTCTATGTTTGACCCAAGGAAAACCCTCCATTTGTATGTCTAAAGTAAAACCTACGGTAGTATGACACAATTCAGATACGTTTTGACGGTCTCGGCTTTCTCGACTGAAAACAACTCAAATCATTTGATCGGCTGATTCATATTCCGACTTTTTGAAGCACCATCTCGACTTTTTGGACCGAGCAATTTATCAATTTCTCACAGATTATCTATGGCGTTTGTTGGAAGGTTTCGCAAAAAATGTTTGATTTAAGATTCAGAAAGTTCATCAATTTAGTTTATAGGTCAACAAAGGTGATTTCTGAGCTCCACTAAAGCACTATAAAGACCTAATTTCTAAAAACTCAGCCTAGGGAAACAAAAACTTCTCATAGGGGAAAAAGATTCAAAATAATTTTATGAGGTTTTCGTGAAAATTAAGTCAGAAAAGTATTAACCTCGGTTTATTTGCGACTGTCCTCGACTTATGTTTTGACTTTTCCATTTTCTCAACTATAATCTGATCTGAATTGTTTGAGATTAATATATCAATATCTGTGTTTTTAGTAGGCATACCTGATGATGCAGGAACTCAAAACAAATAATAAGAAGCAAGTATTCAAAACCTTGTCAACGAAACTTATTTTTAATATCAAAAGTTTAAAAATTGCCTGATTTTTT